TTAGCGTATGGCAATCCAGCCGGGCCTAAAGCCAAGACACACAGGGAGGTGGCTCACTTCCGTAGGCGGTATACCATGCGGGTTGCTCCTGGTACTTCTCTAACAGCAGAGTGGACCGAAAGAGCAATCCCTTGATTTTGTGGTGTGCTTCGGCAGACCTGCCGTCAGGGCATCATTTTTGAGTACGTAAGCGATCTTGCAACTCCCCATTACGATGAGGGAGATTCTGTTGGATTTTAGTGGGTAGTACTGGCTTTTCTAGCCGGTGAGTCCCACATAACCAACTGTATGTATACAGACGGTATGCGTAAATGCATTTCTCAATATTAAAAAAAATATTTTCAACTTCAACTATTCGGCATTGCATATCTGATATACTTTTTATATAAGACACAAAGAATGTAGATACGACTACAACAAAATTTAAAATTGCATCCGTCTCAATGTAAGCGTAACAAATAAAAGGCCATTAAATCACTGAATGCGACATCACAATAAATTGTTTTCTAATTTCGTTGGTGTTGCTGTGGAAAATGTATTTCTTGCCTCACATGCGGACTTGTACCGTAACGATGTAGATGTACGCGAGAAGCTACTACATTGTTTTATACCTATGAAAGTTAACTTCTATATTAAATGATTACGTATTTGTTTTGAAGCCATCAATAGGTATGGGCTTATTCTGACGTTAATCAATCTTAAGTTGGTTACATCGCCTTGCCATTCATAATCCATACTAATATAATAAATGTGAAAGTGTGTTTGTTTGTTTGTTTGTTTGTCCTTCTTTCACGTTGAAACAGAGAGACGGATTGGCGTGATTTTTTGTGTGGAGATAGTTGGAGGGCTGGAGAGTGACATAGGCTACTATTTACAGCGGGAGATTATCTCATTCCCATTGGAAAACACGTTATATTACAACCCAAAAAATATATTAATGATCAGAATTACTTGAAACTTGGTATTAATGCTCTTCAAGAAAATTAAATAAATACGTGTTGTAGCATTTTTCGAAATTCATTCTGTAAGGAGTTAAAATAGTCGATGAAAGTTTGTATGAAACTACCTTTTTCGATATTTTTTGTAGTTTTAGCGCGAGCGAAGCCGTGGGTTCTGCTAGTATCTTATAATATAAGCTATTCTGTATTTTATATCTAAAAAAAAGACTTATGTTATCGAACTTGTAAGTTTGTACGTTTATATTTTTTGGGGTGTTATATAGGTACGTGTGAAAATGAAAATTATACAATTTTTGAACGCTTAAGCAAATATATCTGAGTAAAATTATATCTTTTTTTAATGATATGAAATTTATATAAGTCCTAAAATTTAGAGATAAATTGACAACTTTACACAATTTCTACATAACCAAACAATAAGCAGAATAATATTTTTTAGATTTCTTTGAATACAAAATTTAAAAACCTAACTACTCTACGAGTACTGCAAGACCAGCATAAATTTACATATGTACATATTAAAATACGCCTTTTTTCTATTAACATTTAATGAAACTAATATAGTACCAAAAGTCGTGTGTACAATTCATTTAACGTGTGTAGCTAACGCGGTGGCACGCATCGAGGCGAGCGAGAGAGAGCGCTCGGTATACATTAATAAATTAATAATTATAAGAAATTCCGCTAGCCCGACTCATCCAGCGAGAATCGGATTAGACCCCATATTTACAGCTTGAAAATTTATGAGGTTATTTTAATAACCTATTGCGTATCAGCTTTTATACTTGACAAATTGGTCATGAATGTTTCTAAATATTATATACTTATTATATAAATAATTTTAAATTTAATCTCGAATGTTATCCGTTATGCTATAAATTCTAAGAAGTCTTCTAAGAAGATTATTAAATTTAAGAAGACACTAAAAAAGAATTTATATTATTATATCTAAAAAGTTAAATAAAAAAGTAATTGTTGCTATTTATTCATCGCTGAGTTTGAATTGAGTTGTTTAATATTTTTTCTAAGCTCCATAAAACCATTAGAGCTTAACTCTAATGTTACACGTTTAAAAAAACATGCCTACACCCAAATAATGAAGTAACTGTTTATAATATTAAGCTCAAATAATTTTATTTTATAAAATTTATAGAAACGCATAATAATAGTTCCGACTTTACATAAATAAAAATTAAAAAAATATTTTCTCAACATTACTTTGTTTTATTTTCAAATGCACCTTTCGAAGTACGTACTAAAAGAGCAAGTTCTACTGAGCAATAAGATTTTTTGTTTTAAACAGACAACATGTTATACAAACATTTGCCCCAACTTGAAGCCGAACTCGCTACGTCCGCCATTACATAGTGTATCAGTCAATGAAATATTTCACCAAAACTTGAGCACATGAGCTTTAAACAACAACGACCTATTACTTCATTAAATATTCGGTAAATTAGATTAATATCGATAATGAATCACTTAATATAACTCTATAAACATTAATTTACAAATTCGTAACAAATGACAATCCTTTTTATTATCAAAGCAAAATAACCATTCATTTGTCTTCTAAGTTCACTCAACTGGCAGCGGAGATGCCGTTTAGTTTATTTTTTATTCACATACCTACATACGATTTTGTGAACGATTAAAAAGATAGCAATCTAATCATATGTTCATAGCTATATCTGATGTACGCTTTAACTATTCTTAATGATTTATTTCGATAAGTGCTACAGCGCTGGAAATGTACGCTGGATTTTTATTCACAGAATACTTACGTATAAGCTTATGAGAACTTGATTTTTAGGCATAACATAGGTTTCTATTATATAGCTATTAAATTGCAAAATAAAAATTAACTTGAAGTTAAAACGAAATTCTATATTGCAAATACATAATGCTTACTAGTAACTACATGAAATTGGTAGAGTACAGGAAATGAGTTGCATTAAAATGGGAAACCATCGAATTGATTACACCTGGGCTAGGTATATTGGAATTTATAGAAACAGACCTCTAATACTACGATACTCGATACGTATCAACAATAGACAAACAGCTAATCGATCGGAGCGTGCGTCACGATCCTCTGCTGAAGACGATTGTCGATGACACAGATAAAACAAATATTAAGTCGCATCGCTGTGCCGGACCATTTGTTTTAATTATTTTGACAATGCCGGCCTCAGTGATCAATTAAGATGTTTACTGATTAAAAGATAAGCCCTCCCAGCCTCTTCCGTGACGAATACAGCGTGAAGATGTGTACGTAAGATAAAAGAAACTGTATTGATTTAAAGTAATATTTAATTAAAATTGATTTTTTATAAATTCGATGTCATTCAATCGGACGTATGAGCCTAAGAAATATTCAGGACTTTCATTCGACTTTATAAAGAAAGATATTTATGTATTCAAATAGAAGTTTTACACAAAATCCAATAGTTATGTTAAGAAACTTCCATACTATGTTATTGAAGTGTTAAATTTCCAAGGAAGATATTAAGCACGTTTCGCTACAAGATTATTCGAGCTACGAGTACGCGCGCCGCGTGCGTGAAACGATAATTAGCCCATAGTTAACCCACTTGTGAGCTATGCCTCATGCTATTAACAATGCTTATTAACTTATTTTTGTTAATGTATAGAAATTAATTGGCACCTTACTGTTATTTAGAACGGGGGTGATACAGTAGAGCGGTTTTGAATGATCACCAGACTTTTTAACATTTAAAATGGTAATAAAGTTCTAATATGAAGCTTTTTTTAGTTTTGTTTTAATGTACATATATTTAATTAATTTAATGTTAGAATATAAACGATTAAAACAAGCTTAGATTTACTAGTTCTATATAAATAATAAGAAAAAGCTTACTTAAAGCTTGTTTGGTTTTATGAAATCGAGTGAAGTAAAGTTACATGTACGTGATTAATTTTCTTTAATTATATTTATACTGAAATGGTACATATAAAAGTTCTAAATTATGAATCACTCAAATAAAATTAGTTGGGCTAAATAACAGCTTTAACTTTTCAACGTAGGCCACGTTAAAAGCGCCAATCACAACATGAACCAAATTCATCTTAATTTAAATTTCTTTAAGACTACTGTCACGATAAAGTTTAAAAATTAAAATCAATAAATACCTCATTAAAAAAGGTCGTATATTTTCTAAACAATTTAAAAATTGGAACAAATTTTTCTTTTGTGTGTTATTAAGCTCGCAAATTATGTTAACATTATGGAAATCAAAAGATAAGATAATAAATATTTTATAAACTTAAATTAAAAACATCATCTATATGTAAATAGTGATAGGTGATCAAGGACGAAGCATCATCGTCCGCTTTCTCTCATTATAATATTTTATGGGCGGCTTTGATTTTTTCCGAGCTTCGAAGTTCAAATTATTAAATTTTTTATGGTTATTATGGTTACATTAGACGTACCTATATAATTAGTTTTGCTTCAACGATTGTGATAATTTCATAAATTTTTCTATGATAGTTTGTTGTATTAAAATAATAAAAAGGGAGATGTTTAAAAAATATATAAAAAATAACGACTTTTACGATTGCGAAAGTTCAAAACGTTTATGTTTTCCTCTACCTTCAATCTCTATTTCATATACTTGATCCACATTTAGATGAAACGTAAGATGACACTAGTTTTACAAGTGCGATATCAGTATAAAACAGCAAGTCACGTTAGTAATTCCCAAGTTAATGTTATAAAGAAAACGTAAAAAGCTTTCAGTCCCACTATTTACACGGACGTAGCGTTGATGTCTTTTATACCCACGTCAAGCGGACCGCCTTTTGTAGTCTTATCTTCCAACCGATATTGGCGCTCTTACAATATAAACAAATTGCATATATATAAACACGAATCATTCAGTTCACGAAACGCGAAACGAAAGCAAAAAGTTTTTAAAAAGAAACAATATTTAATAAGACATGCCACACTGACACAGATAAATATTTTCTCCATGAGAATATCAACATTAATCGATTCGCTAGTGACGTTGAACTTACCAATTAGTACTGGCATAAAAAAATCCCGAAGCCACTGACACTTTAAAAATGGAACGTTAAATAGGGTTGCGCCACGCACGTGTCGATAGGTGTCGATGTGAGCGCGACGTGTAGTCAGGGCCAATGCCGCGGGAGACTGGCGCGCCGCCGCGTCTGCTCGCACCTGCCGCCCGGCCCCCGCGGTTAGTGACAGCCTGACAGGTGACGCGAGTATCGATATCGATAATATTGTATGGGTGTCCATTACCTTATATGTATTCAAATGTACTTATAAATTTCTACATGTAAATACTTTTAGGTGTTTGACAAGTGGGTCATGTTATTTTTTCTATTAGTTATGACCGTACCGTTACAGCGTCATTTGGGAAATTTTCAACTGACACGCCTTAAATGGGGAATTGAATCATACTTAGGAACTCTTTAAAATAAAAGTAATATATTGTGTATTTGGCAAGTATATATTGATTCTGAAATTATTCAATCTTCATTAAGTAATTAATGTGTTCAGATTATACACCCTATAAATTATCGTAAAAAAATAAATTATATAAACCTAGACAGATATCGACTATAAAACGTCGACAACCAACTCTACTTAACACAACGTAAGCACGAGATACTTACACCGACTGATCAATTTAATTACCTCCTCATCTCGACGATCTACAATCGAAATTATTTCTTTCTCTTTCTAACGTACGGTAAAAATCACAAAAACACAGCATCTCTCTCGAACCCAAAAAAATGTTTAGTATTATTGGCAGTAGCGCGTGCCGAATGTGAAACGGGAAGGTTTCACCAGACTTGTGAATGAATGTTGCCGGTGCTTTTGATCTCCACTAGTAATGTAACATTCAAATAGTAAAACTAAGCCTACTACAAGCCATTTAAAAAGCTCGACGAAAGCATTAAAGCACACAATTCCTTAAATTATCTCTTCAAATCTCGCTGCTGATAACAAACGTGCTGAAAGACATGTAGATCACAAAAGTACTTAAATAGTTGTTTGACTTCTCAATGAAAGAATGTTCACACGTAATTTACTTGGACAAAACAACAGTTTTTTTTATATTTGTGAGAAGCTTTCACGTTTTGTGAGGTCCGTATCTGTAGCTGTATCTAATTAAGATACAAATTGATATTAAACTACAGAAATAGTTAAAAATTCGTATTTATTTTAACGGTAAAATGTTCACTAAAGCTTTTTTTAGGGAAGCTTTTAAGCGATATGAGTGTCTTCATATATTATGTTATAAAAGTTTTAGATAAAACTTCACGCCTCTTTTAGGACATATTGCTCGCGCGTATATTGAGATAAAAACTTAGCATAATTAAAGCTTTATCTTTAAATATAAAGCCAAAATTTATTGACTTGCTGTTTCCCGCGGCTCTACCCGCATAATTTATTAATGTATACTTAATTACTTCTATTCTAAAAGGTGTGGCATAATGTTAAATAGTCTACAAGCTAATCTTTAGAGCTACGGATATCATTTGTAGTTTTTTTTTGTATTTCATAGCTTATTTATTAAATAAGGATGTAATATATACATAATAGGTTATGTATCTTTGACAAAAGAACACGATTAACATTCAAGTATTTAAAATTTTATATACTGCGGTCGAATTTAATTGATCTCTACTAATAATAAAACTAAGTAGTTACTTTAGTCAAGAATCGAAGGTATAATTATTCGTAGTAGTCAAAGAATAGACAGTTTGTATATTCCTATTTTATTAGCTATTGTAATTTTTGCCTTTAAATATGAAAAAGCTCAAATTGCTTTGGTTATATATTAACACTAGCATTGCCCGCGGCTCCACCTGCGTTCAGATCACCAAAAATTAAATCTTAGGTTTTACATATTAGCATACTCTTACATTGCAGTTTTTGTATTTTTTATCAGAAATGATATATTTTTCCGCGGTAAAAAGTATCCTATATGTTGACCCGGATAGCCAGTATCACCACACCAAATTCCATCAAAATCCCTCCAGTGGTTTTTCCGTGATGCGGTAACAGACAGACAGACAAAAATTCTAAAAACTATAGATTCGGCCTCTGTATCGATAATAATGTCTATTTCAATAAGATTTACCAAAAATTATTATTGTACAGATTCGGCTTAGTTAGAATTTTATTATATGTATAGATAGAAGAAAGCGAATACCTATGTATTTTAATATTAAATTGACAATAACATTGTATTTAGGTTCGTTTAAAGATTTAACCCGACTGAATAGAAATAGACATAGATACACCCGAAAAAATTTTTTTTTCAAGACATCCGAGTTATTAAGTGTATTGTGTTTAAAGAATAGTTACTTACTTAATTTGATATTTTCCTGCAATTCCATCTCCAATACTACCTATTCTGTTCTACTAAGAATGAACTATAACTCATAAGCCCTCAAATGTAAGCTTTTTATCGTAACAAAATATCCATTTTGTCACTCAGTATCTAATTCCAACGACGTGAACTTCGCCCTTTCCCTACGTATTTGTAAGATAGCTTTCAATAAATTCTCAGTAGAATGAACGGCTTTCACATAATTTATATTAAGTTAAGTTTTATATTACATACATTTTTAATGTTACGATAAAATATTAATTTTAAATACTGTGATAAATAAAAAAAACAATAAATCAATAATATGTAGGTATTCTCCATAAAATATGGAATAATAATGAAATAGAACATAGGCTACTTTTTATCCCGAAAAAATGTACGGTTCCCGTGGGATAGATTTATTTTTGTTTTTCTCTAGGGACGAATCCGAGCGAAGCGAGCCGCGAGGCCAGGGCGAGCTGCTAGTCGAGTAGTACCTATTTAATTGCTTAATAAAAAATTACTCGTTAATCGTTGTATAAAAAAACTTTAAGTACAATTTTAGTTAGATTCGTGAAATTAATAATCGATTTAGAATATTATTTTGCAGCATGCGCGGAATACTATATTCTATTATATTGATTTTATAATATACTACTATTATATCTATATAGAAATAATTATTATGTAGTAGGTATCTACCTTATAAATTTCTATTATATCGATTACCTAAAAAAAGTAATTATATGCATTTTTATAATTATGATTAGAAATATGTAATAGGCACTGATATTTATATTTAGGTACCTCGAGGCACTTAATATTTATAATATTAATTTGACGATAATGATGGTATTCTATACATATAATAAAATTGTAACTAAGTCGAATCCGTACATTCAATATTTTTTGGAAAATCTAATTGAAATACACATTATTATCGATATAGAATCCGAATTTATAGTTTTAAGAATTTTTCTCTGTCTGTCTTTCTGTCTCTCTGTCTGTCTGTTACCGCATCACGAGAAAACCACTGGACAGATTTTGATGAAATTTGGTATGATGATAGCTGGTTATCCGGGTCAACATATAGGATACTTTTTACCGCGAGAAAATGTCTCATTTCTGAGAAAAAATACAAAAACTGCATTGTAAGAGTATACTAATATGTAAAACCTAAGAATTTGATTTTTGGTCATCTGAACGCGGGCGGAGCCGCGGGCAATGCTAGTTTATAAATATGTATGTTTATCGATCCGGTATTAAATGTGTCATAGAAATAAACTTGAAACCAAATAATATTGTTTTAAAATAATACAATACTTAGGTACATATATTATACAAACATTAATAGAATGCTCAATACTCATTTCTGTGATAAGAAAATAAATGTTAGTCAAACCTGAGTGTGTGAGAACTGGGTACGCGAGAAAATTTTGTAAGCTTGAGTAATTGCCAGGTCTCGTCATTTTACCCCTCTAAAACCTCTATAACATAGAAACAGAAACTTCTATAAGAGAAAGTCGTTTATAATTTGTGGACCTCTAACCGACACTTCTACTTGCCTGTATCTCTATAAGCGACAGTCAAGCGAAATTAACACCTGCGATTGATGGCTTTTTCGTTGATCTAATATTGTTTTTGTTTCCTTAAATTTCGATGAGTTAATATTAGTTCCTAGCCAAATTCTAATGAATAATGCCAATACAATACATACCAGGGTTCGAAACGATAATTATCATTGATAATTATCACGATAATTATCATGATAAATATGGGTTGATAATTATCTTTGATAAATATAATTGAAAATATTTAATTTGTAACTCTTCAAATTGTCGATCAGCTAACTTAACTCTCTCAATCAGCTCAACAAACTCAATCAGCAAACTGAGTTAATGCATTTGAGAAGGATGGGGATGATATTCCACTCATTAAGGAGTCTGCCCACTACACCGTCTCATACCATGACCGTGCTATGAACGTATCAAGCGACACAGACTACTATGCCCACTAGAACGTATCATTCGCGTATTAACCGCGTATCATCCACGTGTCATATCCGTATAGTTCTCGTTTTCTCAGTCGTAGTAGTTCACCTGTGTTTTCGCGTGAGGCAGCCGCGTCAGGAAGAGCGAGTGAATATTTTTGTTACGAAAATTATTTCCTATACCTATACGATGGCTATTAGAAACTTATGCGACGGAAAATTAACAATGATAGCCATTGTTTTAGACGAGGAAGAAAGAGAATAACATCAGTCGATCACGACGTTATTAGGTTCACGCCGTTTTAAACAAAATTATAATTTAAAAGAAAATATTATTACTAGAAGACAAGTGACAACACGTTTATAACGGGCTTAGAACGGCTTCTTGCCGACAAATATTGTTAACTTTCCATACACGGTACGTGACGGTGTTGGTTGGTGACGGAAAGGTCTTGGTCGGTGATGGAATGGCTTAGTGGGCATAGTCTCATACTTATCAATATAAAGGATATTTTTTTGCCTGACACGGCCCTAGCACGCTCATGGTATAAAACGATATAGTGGGCAGAGACCTTTAAAAGTGTATAATTTATTCTAACGTAAATTATGATATGCAAGTAGTCAACTACCAATACATACACAAGGATTGCTAAGTTTATATCTGTTTGATAATTATCGGATACTTATCTGATAATTATCTGATAATGATAACTATCGCGATAATTATCAAAAGATATATTTATCTTGATAATTTCATACCCTGATACATACACGATCACTACACAATTGTTGCATTTTTTTAAACCTCTATAAGTTAGAAACTCGGGTTAGTGAGAAACCGCCATATGCGAGAAAGAGATCCTTGAACTCTCTCTTACCTAGGTTCGACTGTACTTAAAATTTAATATTTTCTTTTCAAAAACTGAAAATTAATAACCATACCATACTAATACACCTTTGTATGGTTTTATATATCAATGCTATCTACCTGAAATTTAATTCTTTAAAGAAAGTAAACAATCGATACAGCAAAGTTGCGAATTCATAGTAGCATAAACAGCATATCACAATACTATTTTTGACTTTGACATTTTTTTGGCGGGCTCCGTCTATATATTTAGTTTACCGTTTTAAACTTATCGAAAGGTTCCTTAGGTAAAGCGTGGTAGTTGATACTAAAACGAATGTTTAACAAAGGTGTTCTAACAAAACGTTTTAACTATTTAAGTATAAAACTTTTTATCGTTTGTTTTTTTATTGTTATATCTTTACATAGACATTATCCATACATATTAAAATTACTTTTTTATTCCTTGGTGCCACGATATATGTACATATTACGTATACTACGTTATAACATAACATTAAATTACTTAGTTAATTGAAATACCTATGGCGCTATCCCTACCATATAAGAATACTAGCGACTCACCCTCGCTTCGGTCGGGTTCGTCCCTAGCTTGCTTCCTAATACAAACTTTTATTCCCCTTAAGTGATGATTTCCGGGATAAAAAGTATCTTATGTCCTTCCCAGGGTCTTAAACTATCTTCTTACTAAATTTCATCTAAATCGGTTCAGTAGATCCAGAGATTACCCCCTACAACCTCACAAACTAGAGATATTTCAATTCAACACATGAGCAATGAGCTAGAAGCAATGTAACTAGGTACAGGATACAGCTATTATATATATATAGAATATGCTGGTATATGTACCTAATTAACTACGTATTGATGCTTTTCAATATTATTAAATATTCATATCGTTTAATTCAATGAGAATACGTGACATCATTTGCTCCACAAAAACATGCAGTATCATTACATATCCCATTAAAAATCAAAGAAGCAGTAGGTGGCTTCCTATAGAAAGCAAGAAAAACATAAAGACAAAGCACTTTGTAACGGAATTTCAATCTTCGCTTGTGCCCGGAGCAAAATATCAATAAACAGTGCCCTACCATGTTCAGAATGGAAATTCCTACGGCGGTTAACATATCGAACGTTTTAGAAGACAAAATCGACCACAAGTACTTTGCTAACATTATATTATCAGTTTTTTTGTTCTGAGTAATATAGGTAATTTTTAATTTCACTGCAAATCGTAAAAACTTAAAAAAGAATAAAAATCGACTTACAAAAAAACTTAAAAAGTAACAAATAACTGATTGGTAGTTTTCATTTACTATAGATACCTATATTAAATCATATATTTTCGAAGTCGGTGTGCTTTGATTTGTTCGGCTGGTAATTTGACGTGTATAAGCAACATTTACTATATTTTTTCCTTAATTTTAATTTATTTATTACTAAATTTGCTATATGTAGTATCTACCTACTTAATCAAACATCTTCTCTATAAGTTTTATTGATATCGATAAAATGTTATTACTTTATTCTAAAACTAGCGGTTCACACTCGCTTCGCTCGGATTCGCGCTAGAAAAACAAAAACAAATCTATCCCATGGGAACCATACATTTTTCCGGGATAAAAAGTAGCCTTTGTGTTATTCTGATGTATGAGTAATATTACTGTAGTTTTATTAAAATCCTATCAAAGTAACAAACATCTATATATCCAGACATCCATATATCCTCACAAACTTTCGCATTTATAATATTAGTAGGATTAAATAATTAGCTATATAATCAAAACTTTGAGACTTGTGGTGAAGATGTTACAAAAAATCAAAAGAAGTTTTTTACGTTTTCTATGCAAAGTTTCAAAAGGTTACCTGTAGTCATTTATACCTACTTAATAAGAAACAGCATATTAATCGCTAAACAGACCAATGGCTGAACAGGGAGATAATTAATGAGATCCTAACTCCGTAGGGTCAAGACCGGAATAGGTATATGTCCACTGACCCATTTAAAATAAAAAAATGGATTATTTGATATACGTAATCATCTATAAAAATATTATAATAATATAAACGCACGTGTGAAAAAGGCCTTAAAAAGTGAAACAGTCAACAGGCTCCGTTGCGGGGTCGGGGTCGCGATCCTCATGAATGAGAGACATTTGTATGTGTTACAATATATAAGGAACTAAAATTGAGACAAGTTCATATTTAAATATTATAATAACGTAATGTAATCATGTTTTTAGTCTTTTGTATTAAGAAATAGGAATTATTAATCCCTCCACGACCGGATAGACGCCGGCGTGTCAGTTAACAATAGATTTCTTAGAATTTTAATTAATTTCTTAGAAATTTACCTGGAAGTGTTAAATGAAATCAGTTAACTACCTCGATGGTCTAGTGGTCTGCATGTACGTTCACCCTAGGACGGGTCGAACTCCTGTGTCGGGGGAATTTAATTATTATTTAGTTCTCCTGATAATAAATTTAAAGTACCTACCAGTCCATACTTCGGAATTCGGTGGGGTTCCAACCCGATTCTTCACTTAGTACCTAAAACCACCCGAAGTATGCAAGACAAGAATAGAGTGCACTTATAACTGTGCGCACACTTGTGCACTATATCTCCTAAGCACATGGCTAGTAAAAACAAAATCGGTCAGCAGAACATTGTTTATTAAAGTGTAAAATTTAAAAAAAATCTTTCAAATATTTACAATGATGAAATATTGTCATATAAAATTTAAATAAACCCCGACCATCTTGGACCAATTTTCATCAAACATAACTAAGAACACTCCCGACTAATTCACCTTTCAAACAAAATCACAATAGGTTCATCCGTTCCGGAGCTACGATGCCACAGACAGACACATACACACACACAGACACGACTAACTTATAACACCACGTCGTTTTTGCGTCGGGGATTAATAATGACAGATTAGTATATAAAAACTAATATCATAAAATAAAGATTAAAAAAAAACTAATATTGAAATATTATTTCATTCCTGATTCCCGACATATATTGATTTCCTAAAACCTATAATATCGATACTTTTGTTTTTCTACATTTAGTTTCCTACCACAAGCATCAAGATTACTGATAGCTGTTTATAATAATGTCCTCTAATGCAATAGGTATCATTTACGCCGGCCATCTCACCAAAAGTAGCCTGTCGAAACTTCATTAAAGTTGATTCAATTACCATGGTTCATTCGCTTTAAGAAAATAGTGAGTCATCGTTGTCCACCGGTCTAGCCACGCCCCCCGACCAATTACGTTGCTTAAAATTTTTAAATACACTAACGTAAAGATAGCATGGCAAAATGAGTAGAATCACTTAAAAATAAGTGCATAAGTGCTCATTTAGTGCAAATTTAATGCCAAAATCTAAAATTTGATGTTCTTATAGATTGGCAGAAAATTAGAAAACTGCTAGCTTTTAATTAAGCTAGCAGTGTTACTGCCTAATATGGTAACCACATAACACAACATCAAATCAATCTAGCATTACTTAAGTGCTCCGTTAGTGCTGGCCATCTATGAAGACTATACATAACCTCTTTTACAATAACCTACAATAACAATCAACAATAATAATTTTACTAGGTACATAATACTTAAATAATCTTTTAAGTGTAATTTTTTGTAAACATTGACAATCTTTCTATTTAACTTAACTATCATTTCATCAAAATAAGCTTCAGATAAACTTATACCAGTATTAATAATAATGTTGATATAAAAATACAAAACCACAATCTTGTAATATTAAATGAGCAATTCTTTGTATATATAAATTTATTTTGTGTATCTCGGAAACAGCTGTAACAATTTGGATCAAATTTTGTATTTAGATAAGGTTTTGCTTTTTAAATTTATGTCTTTTCTAAAGAAAAAATTTTTTTTAGATCTTTTCCAAAAAATGCTGAGTGATGCTCAATTGCTCAGGTACTATAGGTTAATAATACAAGTTTCTTCTTTGTTTGGATTTATTGCAAACACAATACTAAATATATTATATTTTATATAACATCTTCCTATGAATTTTCTGTTTCTTTATATCTGAAAGAAAAAAATACTCTTTAAATATATTATTAATAAAAACATTTTTATAATAACTTGTTAAAAATATTAAAATATAATAAAAAAAGTACTGATTCTATAATCTTTGTCTCAGTAGATATTATAATTTTATAGTTACTTGAACATGATTTAAAATAATAAATATATTGCAAATTGTATTGACTTAATAACAATTTTTCCCAAGTTTTTACTTTCTTTAATTGTCATAGTTTAAGTATACAAGTAAACATTCATCTATATTCAATACTAAGAACACTCATTTTCTTGAGTAACAAGGTGTAGCATTTTCACTTTAAAACCAATAAAAAGAACATGTTATTTATCAAATTTTCCCAATAATTGTTTAAACTAATCCATATTACACTTACTTGCAGGAAACACATGTGTAAAATACTGTTTGGCCTTCATCTGCTGATCTTAATTGTAAAGTTGCATATGACATTCTATCATTACCACATTTAGGACATTTTCGCTCTACCACTGGACCTTCCGGATTGTCCAGATTTAGTATATTATCATTATTTAGAGATGAGATGGTATTAAAATGTATAGTATAATTTAACTTTATGTTACCAAAACCTATAAAAATAAATAAAAATAAATTAGAAAAAATGTATGTTAAAATTCATACTTTATATAAAAAAACAAGCTGGGATGTAAGGAAGTATTTCAAAAAGGTAAATTTTAAAACTTACTATCAGGATCATAAACAGCTTTACATGCATAACACTTAACAGAACCAAATTCTTGTAGTAAAGGTAAAATAGAGCCACACTTGGTACAAAATGCCGTACTACTCGTGAAAGGGCCCGTTTCTGCCATAATTAGTTATCAAAATTATAAAAATGTTGTTTTTACTAAAATTATTATTATTATTGATTTTTATTACATATAAAAAAATAGTAAATGCTTGTTAATATTTTAACTTTTAAGGTTATATTTTAAAAACAAAAACATTTAAACTTTTCACTTTACGGCTCGGGCTGTCAATTTGACAATGGACAATGCGAGTTGCGACATTACAAAAATATAGTTGCTAGGTAGAAGGTACATATCTAAATAATAATTTTATTATTCATGTATGGTAACTATTCTTAGTATGTAATGTTTAAATCGGAAGCATCTCAATTTGATTCTCTTTATCTGGATATCTAGATTATCTAAATTCCAGATAGAAATGAGAAAAGAAAAAAACTTTTTAACAAAAAAATAAAAACCGACTTCAAACAAAAGCACTAAAAAGTAAAAAATAACTGATTGGTAGTTTTCATTTACTATACATACCTAATCAAATATTTTCAAAGTCGGTGTGCTTTGCTTTGTATGGGCTGGCACCGATTTCGAAAATATTTGATTAGGTATGTATTTAATAGGTAGCCTCTAATTACTTAGCCAAAGCACACCGACTTCGAAAATATTTGATTAGGTATGTATAGTAAATGAAAACTACCAATCAGTTATTTTTTACTTTTTAGTGCTTTTGTTTGAAGTCGGTTTTTATTTTTTTGTTAAAAAGTTTTTATTTTTCCCTTTTTAGTGTAGACTGTAGAAGCAAAGTAAGGATTCTAACGTGTTAGGCTTGTCAAATCAAACAAAATAAGCCCAAACTCAAAGTATCTACTATTAGCCGTTGAAGAGTTCCACCTATCCACCTTCTGGCCTTGCCATCAGATCAGGTCAACAACACCGAACCACTGTACTATCAACGGAAATAGAAATACTTGCAAAGTTTCAAGTCAATATGACAATTAGAAGTAGGTTAAATTCATCATTAGTTGTTTTTCCACCCTTAGGGGTGGTATTTTTTTTTGAAATTTAAATGGGACCAATCTGGAAGTATACCCTTTCAAACAAAACAAAAATTGTCCAAATCGGTTTAGAAATGACGGAGTTCTGAGGTAACAAACATAAAAAAAAAAAAAAAACATACAGTCGAATTGAGAACCTCCTCCTTTTTGAAGTCGGTTAAAAACTAAATAAAACTTTGATGTGATAGAACAAGACAAAATAATTAAGTAGGTACTGCCGTCCCTTATCGCTTACCATTTTGTAACTTGATCAAATCAGTGAGCAGTAAAACGCAAATTTTGTCACTTTGGATAATATTTTGTGCCGAATCGAATAGTTACTGCACATTTTTTTGTGAAAAACATCACCGCACGACATTTAATTTCTTGTGCATAACACATACACTTAAAGTACTTTTTGCTCCCTCTATCTAATATAAGTTATAACGCAAAATAAGCTTTTTCTTTCTTTTCGAAGCTAGTCTAACCACACTTTTAGCGTCGAGTTTTCAATGAGATAATTTTTGATTAAAAAACCGATATCTTAGTCAGTATACACAATACAACGAGATTCAATATAAATATTATTATGAACTCAACCTCAGGGTTCTCATTTGCAGAAAATTACTTTACATTCATAAAATAAACAGAATTGATCCAAAATTTATAAAACAAGCATGGCGTGACCACTGACCAAATATACGACAGACACGGTAGTCGTCTAGCGATGCCATAAGGTTCCCATGAAAATTTATAGTTGTTTTATCGATATCAATAGAAACATGTATTTAAATAATATTATCTAATACGACTTAATGCTAAACAATATCACAGAATTATCAAATAAGTTATAAAACAAATACATTTTTTTAAACTTGTCGACACATAATAAGAAATATCCAATTTCCGCGAAGTTTTTTCTACACTGAACTTTATGGTATTCTAGAAACAAAAATATATAGGTACTTAATATTGCTAATGCTAATAACATCTATGCTATTATTGACATGAACTAATTACATTTAAACTTGAGTTTTCACTATGGATACAAAATTTTAAAAATCTAAACTGCGGTGCCGAACGGCAATTACTAGTAGGTAATACATTAGGCATTAAGTCAATTATGAATAAAAATATTACTAATAAATTATGTAATATAATCATGAAATTTTTAACAGAACCCCATTATTCTTTTGTATATAATATCGCTCTGTATTCTGTGGCATAGATGTAGTCTGTGGTGAGTGGTGACCATAGAGGTAGTGACCGATGTTGACAGTTGTTCGATTGTTTGGATTTTGCTACTGAAGTTCTGTGGTGTTTACTGTATTGTAGGAAGACATCTAAATATTATGTAGGTATTTGTATTTTGTTAAAATTAAAACCATTAATATACATTTGAATTTTATAACGTTTGCCAAAATAGAATTGTGAAGAAATATTATTTTTGTTAGTTCATTTAAGGTAAAACGATTATAAAATAATCACTGACATGTTGAATGTTTTGTAAAATCAATGGTTATTATTATATATAATATTAATCCACTAGACTTTTGTTTTTTTTTATAACATAAACAAGGAAATAACACTTAATACATTAATAAAAACAATACTTATATCATTAAAAGTAAATTAAAATTAAATTTACGACGTAGGTACCGGCGGTTTTGGCAGAAATGTATTGTGATGACAGTTTTTTTTGCAACTATTTCATAGTCAGTCATAAATGTTTTACAACAATAAATATTAAAAACTTATGATATTTTTATGGTCTTCAGATTAACTATGGAAGCACTAGCAGAAACTAGCGATTTAAACTACTCGCAGCCTGATCAAGCCATGCAAGCTGATCAGGCAATGGATACTGACAAGATCCCAAGTAATCCTATCCACCCACCAGAAAGTGTAGGACCAAGTGGAAAACATGAAGAATTCTCTGTAGAGAAAGTACTAGATCGAAGAATTAAAAATGGAAAAGTAGAATACTTATTGAAGTGGAAAGGTTATTCAGAGTATGTTTATTTTTGTTATTATATTGTCTAAAAATATTAATCAGTTTTATGAATAAAAAGACAAAATGCATTATGTCTAAGACTAGAATGGGTATTCACATCTTCACTTCAGTTATCAATACAAACCTAGAAAATGAAATCTTATCCTGAAAATTAATAACAGACTAACAGTATGTCACTTTTAATCAAATCACTGCCAGTCTACTAAAAATAGCATTGGTGATGACAAATATTGCATTCCTAAATATTTGCATTCATATTTGTGAATATTGAAGATAAATATTTGCATTTGTGAATATGCAAAATCCAACATTTGTTACATCACTAAGTAGTATATATACATCAATTGCTATCAGTGAAATACTTGTTAAAAATGACTGGTATATTGAAGGTTAGCAGTCAGTTATAATGACAAAAAATAAATTTCATAGTTTATTACGCTTAGGTATATTAACAACTCTGAAATTTTATCATTTCTCTCAAAGTGAAGACAACACATGGGAACCAGAAGATAATCTAGACTGCCCTGACCTTATATCAGCATATGAAGAGGCTCGCTTAAAGAGGGAGAGAGAAGCAGCTCCTCAACCAGAAGTAGAAGAGGGGCATTCCACTCGTAAAAGGGCTAAGCGAGGTGATAAGAAGAAAAAGATTGAGGTTATTTTTTTTACATTATTTTAGAGAACAGAGTGCGACATAATATTTTTAGACAAATTTGTATGTGTTGCCTGAAAGAAAATTGAAACTATTAATTTAGATTGTTATAAATGTGGTATTTTCACTCTAAAATATATTTATTAGGACAACAAGTTGTTATAATTCCATTAGTTTAGTATTTTTTCTTTTGTATCATTGTTGTTGTTTCAATTATTAAGAGTGATATTTGTTTTATAATATTTTTTTATATTAAGTGAAAATATACATAGGTGTAAGTAATCTTTATAACCAGTTAACACCTCTTCTTATAATGGGTACTTTTTCTCTCAAAGAATCATAATCGCAATAGATACTGGAAATAGAATTTGCATTCTTACTAACATTACACTGTTTGTACTAGCAAAGGTCCGACAGTATTTTACACCGGGACAGCTTCTTATTTTATATAAAGCTCAAGTCCGGTTGTGTGTGGAATACTGTAGTCACATTTGGGCTGGTGCTATGAAGTGCCATCAACCTGCCGGCGTCGGTGTTTCGAGCAAAGGCAAGAGTGAATAGGTGGCTATAGAATTAGTGCGACTTACCATCTACGACTGCGTTACCACTTATCATAAGGTGGAACGTAGTCAAGCACTAATTCAGAATAGTATAAAAAAAAAGTAATTATTAATTATACATTTGATTATAATAATATTTATTTAAGTGTACATTTTCTATTTTCATTGTATTATTTTTCTGTTAATTTATATAAACTATAACAAATATTTACTTCAGGAAATTGAGAAACCCCGAGGTCTGGCCAGAGGTCTTCAACCAGAGAAAATATTAGCTGGACAACTATTCCATGGCACACTGTACTTTTTAGTGAAATGGTTAGTACTAACATATTATACTTACAAATATAACGAGATATGTCAGTATCACTTAGACAGAAGATTACAGCCGTCTTATGACGGCAATTAATTTAAATTTCCTTTATGATGAATAATGAAATGCAAATACACCTTTGCAAACTAATTTTTGTACTGGAAACTTTTCTAGCTGCGTTGAGCGGTTTTTAGTAGGGGCAAAACTTATATTATCGTCACCGACATGCTACGTGTGACATGTAACGTGTTGACGCACTCTGGCGCAGACTGGCGATGCGCAACGTCATATATTATTTTAATTAATAAGTAAAATATATAAATGTAAATAATTATTGCTCAGAATGCCAATGGATGTGAAGCCCAGAGTAATAATAATTTCAATTTACAAATTATGAAATTTTAATTGTTCATACTGTAATTATTAATTAAAAAAAACAGTTATTCCAAAGTTATACATTTTCACTTCAATCCAATTTTATTTTATTATTTTTTTATTTTATCCTTAAATTTCTTATAAGTGCAATAAATAATTCGAATATATTTTGTTTTGTAGGCAAGGCTGTTCTGAAATGGATGTAGTTCCAGGACATGATTTAGGTGAAGCTTTTCCAGATTTTGTGATAAATTACTATGAACGATGTGCACCATTCAGTGTAAGACACAGTGTAGGACGGATTGCAAGACCCGCACCAGAAGTAAGTAATATAATACTGTCCATTCGCGTTAAGAAAATAGTAACTCATGAAGTACAACGACAGGTAACGATGTATTCAAAGTGGAATAAAAATTTAATTCAAATATATTTCATTTTAGATTAGATTTAGATTTATCGATCCACTTTTATTCTATGAATAGGTGAGGTATTCATTTTTAAAATTTATTATATATATCGCACAAATGACACTAACTGTTTCTTACAAAAGTCTGCCTTCAAGTGCTAATTGTAAAATTGACTTGATTTGCTTGGATGCGTCTCTATATTCCTAAAAGCCTATGTTACTCCAAATTATAGTATATTTGTGTGCTTATTTTCATTTCAATCCATCCAGCCATTTTGGCGTGAAGGATTTTTTTTCTCACAACAAGTTTGATTCCCGACAAACACATATTTTTTTGGGAAATCTAATCATATTGGTTTATTTGTTACATTCAATAAGTTTTAATAAGAAATATTTTAATATCTAATCCAATGTTATTTTCAGTTGCCATCTTTAGAAGCGGCACAAAGTAAAGAAACTCCAATGGAAGTTGCACAAGAGGTCCCATCTCTACCGCAGCCAGGTAAGATGATCATTGTTTTTGTTGGCACTTATTTTAGTTTAAGTAAGTTACATACATATATGAAGTACTATATATTAGTAATATGGATATATCTTGTTAATATAAAGTAAAATATCTTTGAAGTTATATTTCTTTTGGTACGTTTGGAAAAAAATATGAGAAGTATAACTTCTTACGTGCGTACATAAGTACGTTTTTTTTATGAATAACTAGCGACTCACCCTCGCTTTGCTCGGTTACGTCCGTAGCTTGCTTCCGAATACAAACCTTCATCCTCATTTTCACCCCGTAAGGTATGAGTTCCGGGATAAAAAGTATCCTATGTCCTTCCCAGGGTCTCAAACTATCTTCTTACCAAATTTCATATAAATTGGTTCAGTAGATCCAGAGATTACCTACAACGTCACAAACTTTACCTCTTTATAATATTAGTATTAGATTTGACATTTTAAATAAAACTAACTTTTCAAATTAGTATGCCAATTTATTTTGATTTTTGGTATCCTGACATTCCGAATGCTTTATAGCAATCATGGTCACGGGAGAGTCATCTATAGTATTATTTTAAATTATTTTAATAATTATTATTAGTTTATATATATTTTTTAATAATAAAATACATTTTACAGACCAATTATCGATTGAGTCAACGGAAAACCCAGTAGCCATACAACAACCCGTGGAACCCGACCAGCCCATAGAAGTGCCAGTCAACTAACATCTGTGACGTCAATGCCATTCATTGAAAATATTATATAGTAATCTATCTATATAAATAAATGTACAAAATGTACAAAAAAAACTCTTGAATTGCTTTAGAAATATGATTGCTTTGTCATTTGAGTTTCACCATCGATCAAAAAAGTACTAGATACACAATCCCATCCAAAAGTTCTCTTTAAAACTGTCTTCAATTGTGCTTAGGTAATTATTGTAGTTGAAATACATGTACAACGATGTAAATGGAACCTTAATTGCAGTGCTTAAAGTTGTTTTTACAAACAAAAATTAAATTTAAAGCGCGCTCAAATGTTCAAATGAGCGCTTATTCGTTGAGGAAATGTTTTGCCGAATATTGTGTGAAATAGACTTTTTTTAATTGTCAATTTTAACATTTTTTTAACTTAAATGTTTGTATGTAAGTCCGTGGTGAAGTTATAAATATTTGACATTTTAAATAAAACTATATATTCGGAAAAAATCTGAAAAGATAGTTTTATTTAGAAACTCAATAGTTGCTCTTTATAAAATTAAACTTATTATTTACAAAGAAATATGGAATTTGTGATTTATGCTATATATATATATATCCTTATTTAATAGAGTGGGTCAAGCTAATAGTGTTATAATCTTAGTTCAGGTGGTCAAAGTTTTAAAGAAATAAAGCAGAAAAATCACACGTAAAAGATAATTAATGTGCACTCTTATTATAAACTGATAAACTTTGTGAGTGATATTTTGCTATAAGAAAATTTTCTTAGAATTTATAATTTGAATATAGTGGTTTTAAGTATTTTAAAAAAGACAGTGGTAGTCCAGTGGTATGGTAGTGGTATCATAGAAATGATTCGCACATGAAAATATCAGAGGATATTCATGATCGGGGATATATCAGGAGATATTCATGATTACCACTTGCCTTACGGTGAAGGGAAAACATCGTGAGGAAACCTGCATGTCTGAGAGAACCTAGCAAGTTTTCGAAAGACATGTGAAGTTCGCACGCACTTGGCCAGCGTGGTGGACTATGGCCTGATTCCCCTCGTATTGAAGGGAGGCCCGTGCCCAGCAGTAGGACGTTAAAAAGGGCTGAATAAGAAATATTAAATAAAAAAAAGATCCGTTTTGTAATAAAAGATAAGCAATATTAAAGTATATTTTTAATGAAAATAAGTGGTTGTTTATTTCACTGTAATATTTTATTAATCTCTGATTAGAAACTTTTCTGTACAGTTGTTCTCTTTTGTATTATGTATTTAATTAAATACAAATAAAATATCATTTTTCCTTCCACAAATCATTTAAAGGCAAAGATGTAGAATTGGTCTACAGATTTTTTGATTGTATTGTAAATTGTATATGTAATTATTGTTGAAATTCATTTTTTATATTATAGCACTTTTTAATACTTTTCAATAAAAATATGCTACCTTAACATAGTATGATTTTTTTGTTTTCAGAGCAATAAGAGTACGTTTTGTAATGATCCGAATAATGTTTTACATATGAGAGAAAATATTATATAAAACTAGCAGAACCCGCGGCTTCGCCCGCGTTCAATCTATAAAAAATTTAATGAATATGTTTAAATAAAAAAATACACATAAAAATGTATTTATATAATATTGTTCATACAAAAAAAAATCGCGATTAAAGTGGGAAATGGGGGTAGGAGGGTGAAAAATACTTTACGACCTATTCTCATACCTACCAAATATATATTTTTTTAATTAAAATCGGTTGTGCCGTTTTGGAGGAGCGTGACCACAAACACTGCGACACGAGATATTTATATATAAGATTATGTATCTAATTTAGTATTGAACTAACTATAGTAGCAGGTACCTACAGTATGTGATTTTGAAATTTATAAAATAACTATTTTTAGGCAATATTGTAGATTTCTTTTGGTTCGCAATAACCTACCTATCTGAAGTTTTCTTTTACAATTCAATTTTCTTGTTAATGATTTCAAAACAAATTTTCCTATTACTAGACTTAGAATTTTGACATAATCTCCATACAAATTATGTCAAATTCCTATCGTTAGTAAGAAAAACCAAAGATAGATAGGTTATTGGGATTCAACCACCTTAATAATAATTATTATTGCAATAAATTTTCCCATTTTCATGTCTTTAGTATTTTGTAAAGAAATATGTGATGTTGATGAAAATAAATTAATTGAAAAAAAAAAAGAGTTTTAGTAATATTTATTTTACAATAATCTTATTTTATCCCTGTATTAATAATTATGTAACATTAAAGTTTAAATGGCTTTGGCATTACATTCTTAGCTCACGGTTGAACTTCGAAAAGAGTATTCTAACAATAGACAACATTTGACATTTTAATTCATATTAGTACAGATAATTCATAAAAATAAGTAATCGCAAGAAAATTATACAATAACTAGCAGAACCCGCGGCTTCGCTCGCGCTAAGAGTACAAAAAAAATCTGTATAAAAAGTAGGTTTCATACAAACTTTCATCCCCTATTTTACCCCCTTATGGGATGAATTTCGAAAAATGCTATGCCACGTATTTATTTAATTGTATTGAAGAGCATTAATACAAAGTTTCAAGATATTCTGATCATAAAATTTTTGAGTTTGTATTATAACATGTGTTCCCGCGAGATTGAGACGATTTCCCGCAATAAAAAGTAGCCTATGTCACTCTTCAGCTTTCCAACTATCTTCAAGCCAATCTGTCACTCCGTTTCGACGTGAAAGAAAGACAAACAAACAAATACACTTTCACATTTGTAATATTAAATTAATTGTATGGATATAAAATTATTTTTCGTATATTTTTTTGATTATGAATTATCTGTACGAAAATTTTACAAAAACAATAAAATCTATAATCATTGACGTTCAAAGTTTGTTGAGAAATGGCGCGATAGAAGCGAAGTCTTCACACTCTGGAATAAGTTTTCCCTTCATCTTGATACAGGAATCCGCACAAAGTGGTCCATCGAACCACGCTCCCAGCATCTTCTTACATTGTGCGCAGTTCTCGATACACACTTCTAGAGGATCGTAGCCGGTCGCTGTGATAAAATTATATTAATTTATATTTAAAAATAGATATTTTAATGTCTTTAAACATATTAGAAAAATTAATAAAGTGAATGAAAATAGATATTTGAAGGGTGAAAAATGATTCTCATTCAGAAAAATGTTTGAGTTCACTAACACTAAAATCAATGATTTGTAATAAAACGAGGAATAAACACTAACCATGCTTCCAATAACATCGGTCAAGTGCTCTGTGCTCCCACACTTGGTTTTTAGTTGATACGTAATATAATAAATTAATACCTATTGTCTTATTTTACAATATGCACTATATTAGTCCCAAGTTTAAAGTTTAATAAATATATAAACCTACTATATTTTATAAGTAAAAAATTTTTTTTACTTTTAAACGTGGTAAAGGACTCATAAAATGTAAACAGCGTCATCTTTAAATATTATACAATAAAAAATCATTAGCTAATGACTGATATTTCGATAATGAATCAGTAAAAAAATAATTTAAGAATGCAATATTTTATTCTTTGTCTAGAACATTTTTTTGTGCTTTTGTTCATGTTACCTACTCAAACATTAATAATAAATCGATATGTACATATAACGACATCTATTGACATTAACATTACATCTAATTTTTCTTTATTTTTGACGAGGCACACGTTATCTATTCTAAAAATACTTATGAAGCGCTAACGTACGTAGAGTAACAGGTGACGTAAGATTAATCTAAGTATACTAATTATTTTTCTTTTTTTTCTAACTAATCTATATTACATATGTACTATAGATCAAAAGATCTGAACACGACTGCGAAAAGGCGAACTAAAAAGATGAGATTATGAGAACGAGTTGATGAAGAAACATAGACAGTCGAAGACATACAATACATGTGGCAAAACTCGCAGCAGATACATATATATATATATATATATATATATATATATATATATATATATATATATATATATGTAGTTGTTAAATAACAATTTATCCTGAATCTTAAATTATTGTATTGTAAACTCTGTATTTTGGTCCCTCTCGATTGATCCAGACGAAAACATTTTTTTTCAATACAGAAAAATTGGCGCCTGGGATCCGCCATTTTGATTTTTATTTATAGCCTATGACACTCATGTTATCAAGACTAACGACATATATATCATCATAATCGGTTAAGCCGTTTAGTACTTAATTACGATGGATCATAGGATCGGACATACGTACATACACACATGCATACATACACACATACACGCATACATACATATATACACGCACACATATACACATATATACAACCTTCCTGTGGGCTTCGCCGCAATCGGGTAAAAAGAAAAGAAAAAACAAAGAATAAACGGTTTTTTTAATATTCTGGATAAAAAAAGAAATTCAAGACACTAAATTCAGAATATATTTCTGAATTTAATATCTCGAATTTATGTTCAGTATTAAACATAAGTACCTCAATAAACGTTTGATAATAAAAAATTTAAGAGAAAAACTTACTTCACATCTTTCTAGATCCAGCAGAATTCTCTGCTGGATGAAATAAAACTATACAGGTACCTCGTTTAAGCGCCAAGAATATTATCTAGTTTATTACCTACCTACCTAGCATACCAGCACTAGTTAAGTAGGTATATAATAATTTTAAATAGGTATCTATAGTCTCGGTACGAATATCAATGTACTAAATATCAATTAAGTGGCAAAAGTACCGACAAATCTGGCAAATAGATACGAGTAGGTAGTGCATCGTTTTATATTAAGAGTAGCGACTCACCCTCGCTTCGCTCGAGTTCATCCCTAGCTTGCTTCCCAATACAAACTTACATCCCCATTTTCACACCCTTAAGGGGTGATTTCCGGCAAAAGGGTATCCTATGTCCTTCCTAAGGTTTCAAACTATCTTCTTACCAAATTCATCTAAATCGGTTTAGTAGATCCAGAGATTACTCCCTATAACGTCACAAACTCACAAAATTTACCTCTATAATATTAGTATAGATATTAGAAACGTAAGATAAATATACTCAAACGATTTGTATGACAAAATGTAAAATAGTAGCAAAAACTTTGTCTATGTAATTCTGTAGTCTGAGTAAATATATTAAATTATGATGATGATGTGATGTTCTCCTAGCCGATTCTGGCCACGGCGACCAATCTCATCGAGACTAGCCAACTGCGCAGGAGATATTATAGTGCTCTAGTGTACACGCAGACACAAGTGCACTCTCTATTCCTGTCACTCTCATACTCCGGTGGGACGACTTCTCGACACGACCGGTGAGAGTTAGGCGCAGGACCGACGGCTTTACGTGCTCTCCGAGGCACGGGGGTGAAACACCGCCAACTTCCCAACTTCGGGCTGTTACTGAGGCTTACTATACAGAAAGACTCAATAACTAAACTTGGCCCGACCCGGGACTCGAACCCAGGACCTCCGGGTGTGCAGCCGTACATGCTAGCCACTACACCACCGAGGCAGTTAAAAATTATAAAATGAAATCATACTATAGACATCTATATAAATAAAAACGAATGTTGGTAAGCGCATAACACAAGAATGGCCGGACCAATTCGGCAAATTTTTTTTCGTATGTTCTTTAAGATCCACGGAAGGTTTTAATAAAGAGAAAAAAATAAAAATTAACGAAAAAAAAATTTATAAGGCTAACGCTGGCTAATAACTATTTATATCTATTTAAAACGTACCTAGCGACGGACGAGTGCGAAACGTACCTACCGAGTGAAGCGAGGGTGAGCCGCTTGTTTTAAATAAAACTATTTTTTTTAAAGTCAAATATTTCACGTAAATCTAAGAAAGTATTATCATACTATAGACATTCATGTATTATGTAGGCATAAGGAATTTTATATATGTTCAGGAATTGTTATAGGCTTTTTGAGAAAGTTAAAATACATTATGATCCTATTACAAAACTCCCAAAGGTAATATCCTCGTAAGAAGACGTACTCTTATAAATTAGTAATAATGCTTATTGTAAAATTAAATAAACTTGTAAATATTAAAATAATATTCAGTCGAAATCGCTTAGTCATTGTATAAATGTGTGTATGTATTCAGCCCTTTTTAAAGTCCCAATGCCAGACTTGGCCTAACTCAATGCGACCCCTCATATCAGCCCCCTTAGTGATAGTCCATCAGGGTCTAGTCGTTAATTAATTTAATAATACTCCTACATTCATAACGACTCTATTAACTTTAGAAAATTCTAGTCGGACTATTATGAAAAACGCAAAAATTTGTACGTGTGTACATTTTTGCGACGACACGTTTGGCTCAGACCCTACTTGCTGTGCCAGAGGTCGCGGGGTCGAGTCCCACTGGGGCCATTCATTTGTGTGATGAGCACAAATGTTTACAAGTCATGGGTATTTATATTTATCATATGTATCTATTGTAAGTTATATATGTGTAGTGTATCAACTATCTGGTATCCATAACACAGGCCTCGTAGCTTACCATGGAACTAGATAGTGATGTGTGTTAACATCCCAACATATTTATTTATTATTTATTTCTCTTTCACGTTAAAAGAGCTGGACCGATTTAGATGAAGTTTAGTACACATTACACAGATGATCTGGACTAATGCTATAATCTAATACAAGTAGGTTTTTTTATGGTATTCAGTGACAAACGAGCAGACAGCCCACCTGATGGAAAGCGGCACCTGTCGCCCATAACACCTACGGTTCATGCACATAGGTTTTATGTTACAAAAATACAGAACCGAAGGTGCGTGTGTGTGTGTCACTGTGAGGACTAAAATGATACCTGTTTCAACATGTCTATTATAATTACTTACCAATTAATTTATTAAATCAATGCGAATTTAATCTTCATAACTACGATATTAATCTATTAAGCAGGTACTATGCTTGTCTACATTAATTTGTTCTCGGTTAACTAGTTACGTGTACAAGTAAAACGGTGGCAGGCACATTTAATATGCCCAAAATCCTACGCGCCTCCCTTGGGTAAGTCACTCACCGAATTATGATACGCTTGTACACGAAGCTTGCGAATTGCTGAATACAAAGTGTTCTTGAAAGCGGGAAAGTTTTCGCAATAATTTATTTAAGCATTAATCGGATAAATGCGAAAGTTTGTACGTTTGTTACTTCTTTATGCTGTAACGGTTGAACGGATTTGGATGAAAAAGTGTATCTGTGTACTGTCACATGAATATATTTTGACCTGGAGTAGCACATAGGCTATTGTTAGGCATATAGGGATTCTCGCTGGGAAGACTGGAGTGGAGCGAGGTGAAGGCCGAAATCAGTAGTTATTTGTTAATTAAATTATTGTAAGTATAAAATATGTATCTATCTCATATATATAAAAATCGATGTTTGTATGTATGTTCCCTATGGACTAGACAGGGTGTGAATCTGTGAAGTTTGCTACTCTTATATATTACTAGCGACTCACACTCGCTTCGCTCGGGTTCGTCCCTACTTACGTTTTAACGTTTAGTATAGATTTCTCAGAGATAAGATATTTTACCGCATTAAAAAGTATCCTATATGTCGACTCGGATAACCAGCTATCATCATACCAAATTTCATCAAAATCTATCCAGTGGTTTTCCCGTCATGCGGTAACAGACAGACAAAAATTCTAAAAACTATAGATTCGGCCTCTATATCGATAATAAAGTCTATTTCAATAAGATTTTCCAAAAAATATTTTATGTACAGATTCGACTTAGTTACAATTTTATTATATGTATAGATGTATAGGTAACGTCTATTAGTTGAATTTGAAATTTAGTATTATAATATATCTCTTCTTCATTTTGTTGTGTTATAAATATTAAGATTTTTTATGGTTTCAAAATTTTCATAGTAACTAAACACAATGAATTGGATCATAAATAGCTATCATGAAGCTATTGGAGCTGCTATCTGCAGCTATGATCTAAATACTAAAACGTTGACTATCTCGTTAATCTACTCTTAGGAAGTAGATGAAGATTAAAATTCACATTGTTACTGACGTAATTTTAAGTTATAAATAATTAATATTGTAAAAATTAGGTATAAACAAATTTAAAATCGGAACATATTTTATTTACCCATATTTTTTATATAAAATAATATAAATGTCGCCTATAATATTTAGAGACTGATACAAATTCTCATAATCATATCATACTATTATAACGTTCCCGAAATCTATACATATAATAAAATTCTAACTGAATCGAATCTGTACATTAAACACTTTTTGGAAAGTCTTATTACAATAGTCATTATTATAAATACAGAGGCCGAATCTATAGTTTTTATTATTTTTGTCTGTCTGTATGTCTGAAAACCACCGGATAGATTTTGATGAAATTTGATATTTTTTACTGCGTGAAAATATCTCATCTCTGAAAAATCAACTCTAACCGTTAAAACGCACCTAGGGACGACTCGAGCGGAGCGAGGGTGACTCGCTAGTCGTACCTAAGAATAGTTCACAAAGCATTAACTTGCTAACCTCTCACTTTTAAAACCCTAAAATGTTATTTTCTGTTAAAACAACTAATTGCGATCAAAATTTCCATTTTTATCTCAGCCGGGAAATTCCAAAAATATTACTTAGGTAATATTATCTATTACCATTAGTACATTGCAACACAGTTCTCGTAAAATTCGCCCATTCAAGCAGTCATGAGGTCAAGTGTAAGCGTAAGGTGAAATTGCGTAATGATACGGCGAAAGTAAACCGGCTAAATCGCGGATTGGGGTCATTGTCTCGGTTCACACGCGTCTTCATTTTGTTTTCCACCTAAAACGTACACCTCGTTCGGCGTTAACTGCGAAACTTAGAAAGTTATGGTCTTGGGGGATTTGTCAACACTGTACTCATGTCGAAATGTATGTAACTTTTGTTTGTAATATATGTATATACTAAAATCAACAATGTAAGTAGTGACTTAATACGCGGACTTGTATAGGTAAAATTCTGTGTTTTCAACGAACGCATTCAACTTATATCCTATTTAAATGTACTTTTTATATGAATAAAATATGTACTAATATATTGTTTAACTAAAAGTAAAAGAAATTGTTGCTTTTTTTCAATACATCCCTATAACTATATGCCATCGGTTTGTCCTAAGAATCCGTCCGCTATTTATCAAAATTAACTAAAATTTTATCGGAACTAGGAACTAATTCTCAAACCAGGCAACTTAATTAAGCTTTAAACGTACATATCTTCAAAGCATAAACAAAGAGCTTTTATACCAGATTAAGTACATAACTAATCTATTTACCTTTTTAGGATCCCTTTCAGTTTGACAAACACGAAATAATTAAAAATTTACCCTTCCGTTATAAAAGAGTATTTAATCAGATATGTACAAAATGTTTGTACAAAGTGAACTAAGTAATTAATTTTACAAATTAAATTCTTTGAATCTGTGTAATTTTGTTTTCATTAATTAGAAAATGGGTAAACTTCATAAACAAATTGAGCTGTGTGAAAGAAAAGACTTAAGTACTTTGAATAGCGTTAATATATATCCCAGATTCAGTTTAAAGAATATAAAGTTTAAAGTTTTAAGTTAGTATTATGTTTTACTTATATGACTCACAACTATATTTTAGATATTTATTTCTATTTCTAAACTTAAAAATGCCAATTTCTATCCCAATTTCTTTTATAGCGTTAAGAAACTTCAAAAGTTCAAAATCTCTTCTTGAAGCTCAACTTTAAAGTATAATATATTCATCCAAATCATTTAAATCCGTTAACCATCCGCAAAGACATCGTAAAACGTAAAAAAAAACATATAATGTACTAGAATTGAGAATCTCTTTCATTTTTGAAATCGGCCAAAAATCATTTACATAAAAATACACTATTTATTGGTCAAACTTTCTTATTGTTTGGTTCCAGTGAGATTAAGTATTGCGAATCTGCAGTTTTCTCTGTTTGTTTATTCAGTCTATAAATTCTTCTGTAAATGTTTACGATAACAGTTAATAATAAGAAAAACACAATATAGCGCACCACCAAACAACTTATTTATATTCTAAACAAACTATAACTTTATGATATTTATTGACAAAAATATTTTTACTAAGTATATGTGGAATAAAAATATTACGTTAGTTAGATATTTTTGCGATTCAAGATACGTACAATTGTTAAAAAAGTATTTTTTTGTACTTCTATGTAATAATTACATAGCTGATAACAAAAATATAAAAGAAAAGTTCAAAATAACCTAGTTAAATGAAAACCAAAAAAAAAACACTTATTAATTCTATAATAGCGCGGTTCTCTAAGCATGTTTGATTGTTATCTAAGTAATTATTCAACCTTATTTACACTGATTACATATTGTATATAGTTTAACCTAGTACCTATAGTATTATATGATCTGTGGTTTGATAATATTTGTTTAATCACTTATAGGTACGCCCTAAAGAGAAGGAAGATTAAGATTCACGTTATCATTTATTAAACAAAAATAAAAACGAAAATAAATTTAGACAAGTGTTATTTCATTTATTTTTAGTCCGACCTTGATTGTAAAAATACGATTTTTTTTATTTAAAATATTTTTTCTTTATATAAAATATTTTAAAGCCTTTTACTTCAATGATAATTAAAAAACATAACAGGATAATCAAAAAAAAAACTTGATATGCTTTTCACCAAAAATGGAAGATTAAAATATAATTAGCAAGTAAAATTACAACTCTACTATAATTGAAAATCGAACTCCTGTCTTATCAGTTGGAATTTCGCCACAACGCGTCAGCACGCGGTACGTATTGCCAATAAAACAATATCCTTACTGTGCCAGTATGAACGTCAATGTTCTAATATATAATTTCATAAGTGTCAACATTCACTTACCAATAGCCGGGTTAGCGCCGGTGAGATCCCAACAGGCCACGAACACGGCTAACGTTGAAAGAGCACAGAAACTGGTGAATTTTCCGGACATTTTGAAGTTATCTAGAAAAATGTGTCATATTAATTAGTAAATAAAACAAAATTGAATGGTAGACGGAAGTGTTATCAATATATCCACTTCAAAAATCACTTATATTACCTATAAAAAGGTTTTAGTTATATTAATAACTTAAATTTACCTATACATTATGTCAATTGTTAAATTAAAAGACAAAAATATATAAAATAAAATATGTAGTATCATTCAAGAACAGGAAGCCAAATGAACGTTAAAACGTAATACTTTCACTCTAGTTTTTAACAGGATCCGCACAAATGCTATACACGCATAAACAATATGAAGCCAATACTAAGGAAGTTAGAAAACTTCGCGAAATCACTACGTCAATGCGACAGAGACACTTCCTATTCCACAGCCACTTATATTTCTACTTCCTTCATACCTATGAAACGGCGTAAATACATTCCGGCAGTATCACTACCCATACTCACCTGTTAGAGCACCTTAACCAAAGAACTCACCGCATAAAAAAAACATAGAGATATAAGATAATTCAAATCGGGCAGTAAAAGAAAGTCACGAGAAAACCGCACTCTAAACATGAATACGATATTAGTGACTGATCAAAATCGAAGGGCCTTTTGTTTCAAAATTCGTCTATCCGCGACCGCTCGAAAATGATACGAGCTTAAATATGAATCGAGTTGACTATACTCGTGCGGCCGACATAAGGTGGGGCGCAGATCCGTGAGTAAGGAGTATCCCAGGAAACGAACCACGGAGTGAGCGAAAGCCGAAAGTTCTGATTAGGAAGTTTATTCATCAAAGAGGACTTGCCTCTAAAATATTTCTGCGTCGTTCTATCTTATGTAACGTGTGAAGTACAAGTTATATGTTACATCATGACGAATAGCCTGCAATGAGTTAGTATAAAACCAGTTTTTTGCATAGTAATATATACTTACCTACTGATACGCATTTCGCGAACCATACCTGTTTGGATATCAATAGTGTTCAAAGTGCGAAACCTTGAGTGTTCAGGACTCTAACAGATCTAGTGACATACTCACGTGTTTATATTCAATAAAGAAACTAAAATAAATATAGGAAACACAGTGTATATTTAAATGTATAATTCGAACATAACGTTAAATAGTCTATGCACAACATTCTCTCTACGCCGGCGTTGACCGAGCAGCCTTCATCAATAGCCCCGAGCGGCTGTATATTGACGATGCTCTCGGGGATTTTCTGTACATTCACTGAATAAGATTCATAAGTACATAAAAACAAGTCTTTAACAAAATACTTTACAAATGCCAATATTTAAATCTGGCTGAGCATTCTAATCAATGATATAAAAGTACTTGTTACTCTATATTTAGTAAGTCGTAAGGATGAAATAAAAGAAATACTTAAAAAATTTAAAGCACTTAAACTGGTCACACAATAATCGATATTTAGGACAAAGGCGATTTTTACTTCCGCGCCAGCGAACAAAAAGTCAAATGTAAATAACCTGTAGATATAGACTTGTACTATAGGTTTCGACGACGAATAATGTACACATTGTTTTGTTACATTGCGGATATTCTTCAGTTGAAGCCCAAGTGAAGCCGGTTTCACTGCGCAATGGTTTAGGTGACGATGTACACGTCATGTCTTATCAAGTAGCGCTCAACTAGCATTTAGGAAGCGGTTTCTTATCAGGTGATCAATTTGAATATCAATAATTGTGATCCAAACACTTCCTAATGTGGAGAATCGTAATCCTGCCGGAAAACAAGACCTACTATGATTGATTTTGAACACTTCCGCATATGAAATCACTCGACCGAAAATACTTCTGTCCAAAACGTTGTATTAATGTCAATTTCGAACTGGAATTAAGTTAATTTTATTACCGTATTGACATGTTCATTATAACACCAAATATGTACAAAAAATAGTTGTACCTTCGACCCTCAGCTTTTGAAAAAAATAATGGAATTTTATAAGCATTCTTTACTTGACATTTTATTATATTTGTTGACTTAGCTCGATTTTATAACGAGGAAATATTCGTTTGATCATTATGTTTGTAGGAAGATACTTTAATTAAAAGAAAGATGACGGCTCACTTCATTAGCGAAAGGATTCAAACTTCAACTTCCATTTTGATTAGAAATCTTTAAAAGTTCGGAACAGTCCGAATTTTTTTATTAAAATTTTTTTATGTACGTTTTAAATAAATATAGTAGCCAGCGTTAACCATGTGCATTTTTTTTTGAGTTTTCCGATTTTTTTAATACTTATAATACTATTCGGGGCGGAGACAAACCCAACAAGTCAAATATCATAAAAATCGGTCCAGCAGTTCTTGAGTTTTAAATAGTGTAATGTGTAACCAACCCAACTTTATTTTATATATTAAGTACTAGCGAGTCACATTCGCTTCGCTCAGGTTCGTCCCTAGGTACGTTATGACGCTTAGTATAGAATAGATATTTTTTTAATTTTTTTCGTGAAATTTTCCGATATTTTAAATAGTTATAATGCTAATACTTTCCTAAGCAAGTATTTGCATTATACTTTACGATTTACACGATTTACGCAAATACTTGACATTTTAAATAAAACTATCTGTTCGGTTTTTTTCGCGAATTTATTCTATATTATTAATTCGCGAAAAGATTTTTCTTTAGGAGCCAAGACAAATTCAACAAATCAAAGATCATAAAAATCGGTCCAGCAGTTCTTGAGTTATAAATAGTGAAATCAAACTAACTTTTTTTTTATATATTTATTATATGTAGATTTAAAGGAAACCAGAAATTAAAAAAAAATGAAATATAAACGCTATATACAAATACATTAAAATAAACAATTACTAAATATTAAACTAAAACAAAACATTTTACACAACATCTACCAAAATCTATATCTAACAGACGGAAAAATTTACTGAAATAAAGATGGTTGCTATCAAAAATTCGCATCACGTATCAATTCTACAATATCTACAATCTAGAATTACATTAATTCGGTCTTACCGAAGATTTCTATTGTTGTGAAGAGATCAAGATGGATGAAGACTGTACTGTAGTTGAAAGAATTCCGAGCAATCTGTGTATACATATAATAAAATTCTGAGTTGAAATCTTATCAAAATAGTCATTATTATCGACACAGAACCCAAATCTATAGTTTTTAGAAATTTTGTCTGTCTGTCTGTCTGTCAGTCTGTCTGTCTATCTGTCTGTTACCGCATCACGGAAAAACCACAGAAGGGATTTTAATGAAATTTGGTATGATGGTAGCTGGTTATCCGGGTTAACATATAGGATACTTTTTACCGCGGAAAATATCTCGTCTCTGGGAAATCGATACTAAACGTTAAGACGTAAGTTGGGACGAACCCGAGCGAAGCAAGGGTGAGTCGCTTGTTTATACTAAAACCTGAAAAGTTTTACAAACGAAGCGTGTCTGGACGCCTTCGTACTTGATAATTAGACTAGAGGTGGAAAAGTGTTCTAAGCTTATTAACAAGAAAGTTTTCAGTTATTTTAACATTGTGTAAAATTTTTCAGAGTTACAGTAACTGATACAAAATGTAATGAACACAAAAGGGCGTAACCTCATCCATATCTACAGATAAATAAAATTGAAGTGGCTGTTTGTAAAGTCAAATAACAGCTTTTTACTAAATGCATATGAAAGTATATACGGTACTTGTAAGAAAAACACATTTTTTAAATTTTTTGTCTGTCTGTCTTTTTGTTACTCTAGCTGGAAGGCTGGACCGATTTTGACGAGACTTTCACTGGCAGATAGCTGATGTTATAAAGAGTAACTTAGGCTACTTTTATTTTAGAAAAAGAATCTGAGTTTCGCGCAAACAATTAAAACCCATGAAATTGTAAACAGAATCCGGATACCTAGGGACGCACCCAAGCGAAGCGAGTGTATGTCGCTAGTTATAAATAAAAATGATACGCTAATCGTTGGTAACCACATCACATAATAATGGCTGGATCTATTTGGGCATTTGTTTTAAAAACTTTATACGGTTTTTAACGGAATTTAAGTCAAGAAAATTGGGAACATGAGAAAAAAACTGAAACTACATAGCTTTTAACTATTGTATAAACTCAAAAATCGCAATTTTTTACAGGATAACGTCTGTACTATAAACATACATACATACATACATACATACATACATACATACATACATACATACATACATACATACGTAAACAAGAGACAAATCAAGTGTAAACCATGGTCAAAATAATATTCTTTTCATTTTCATGGACTTTCTTGCGAAATAGATGGTCTAATAGTAAGATTGTGGATCATCTCATGTTTCCTCCGTTCACTACATAATACATTGAGACGTTGGGTTTTGAAAAAAATCAAAAAATCTAAATTCCGACAATTTTTTTTTAAACATAGGTTATTAATTTTTTATCACATCCAAAGTCACTAAATTACATAAAGAACTATAAATATTAATTAAATTATCACATCCAAAGACACTAAATTACGTAAACAACTAACTATAAATATTAATTAAATAACAATAAGCTCAAGTTTACTCCCATAGTCAGTCATTGTAAGAGCCCGTCGAGTCCCTTGCGCATATTAATACGGTCCGGTGGAGTGCAGAATTCGAACCTATAATAGATACGTACATCGCAGACCCCAAAAGGTCGTACAATTAAATATAAAATTATTCTATCATCCCTTAATAATGTCAAAATATTAATTTTCTTTTTTTTCTCTAAAACGAAATTACTGGACCATACATTACAATTAAGCATGGATTTTGAACCTAATTACATAATTATTTTGCAATTTATACTTATACTGTTATATATATATACTCGTATATATATGGGGTCGACAGATTTGGCTCAGCTTGCGGTGACCCTACTTGCTGTGTGAGCTGTCGCGGGTTCGAGTCCCGCTGGGGGCATTCATTTGTGAGATGAACACGAATGTTTGTACTCCAGTCATGGGTGTTTATATTTATAATAGTATGTATTTAAAGTTATATACTTATGTACCTATAGTGTATCAACTATCTGGTATCTATAACAGAAGCCTCGTAGCTTACCATGGAACTAGATGATTTACTATTATTTTAAATTTATAATATATCAGTGAAAGTTCCGTCATAACTTCATATTCACATATTTACTGGAAAGTTTATATTAGAAATACTAATAGGTAAGGATATTTAATACTTTTAAATTTTACCACGAAATTATAACTTCCTAATATATGAGCTAAGCATTAATTTATTATTTACTTGCACTAATTTATTTATATATATGTACTTTGCAGATAGAAAAAATGATAACCTATAGGTCTACATGACGATCGTCATATAAGTACCATGTATAAGTAATATTGCTTACAATGTAACATCATTAAATTACCTTAGCGCCATCTAAAGGACATACGATAAAGTTTCATCAATAAGTGAAATAGTAGTTTTTGTTAACAAAGCATAGAGGGCGCTAAAATATTATGTATTATTCATTTCATTTTAAAAATATAATCTTATTTATTTAGTACTTATACAATTTCTAGCAATATCACAGTGAAAATTATCAAAGTAAACGTTGTATATACAATAATTACCAGTGGGGGAGTATAAATTGGTCGAACATCAATCTCAATTTGAACGATAAGGTAAGGTGTAATCACAGGATCAAGATTCGCAAGCTAAATTACTTTAAAGTAGCAACTCACAAGTGAAAAACAAAAACAAATCTATCCCACGGGAACCATAAATTTTTCCGGGATAAAAAGCAATCTATGTGCTATTCCAGGCTATAATCTATCTCTGTGACAAATTTCATCCAGATCCATTCAGCCGTTCTGGCGTGATTGAGCAACAAACGCCCATCTAAACTATCGCATTTATAATATTAATGGTATGAAAAGCAGTAGACGCATCTTATACTAAATAAAATACTAGAATAAAACAAAAACCTTTTTCTATACCTAATGTAGGTATAGCAGATTGAACATAATTTTAAGATACAAAAGACCAGCCTAAAAAGAGAGAAAAGAAATAAAATTGATAAAATCACAATTACGATTTCAATCAACCACCAATTTAGTCACCTTTATCCGCGTGGCTAAAATTTTCCGATTTCTGTGTTGGTATCCCTTGTCTCTTCAAGGCCGCCGCCCGCCCTCGTTTTGCGCGTCGAGAATTAATTTTTATCACAGTCTGTTCCTTCCATCTTCCTTATACATCCTGCTTATTATATTAAAACAGTAAAGGTTAAGAATTTGGACAAATTTTATAAAATTTTAATAATGAACTAAACCATCGATCTTATATATTTATATATTATGTCCATAGCGTTATACCCTATTTGATATTATTAACAAATTCTATATTTTATAATCAAAATTATTCCTTACAAAAACATATAAAATCATTATAATTTATAAATGTATTAAGTAGGTAATTAATTTAAAAGAAAGAAAAAAAAACACAAAGTCTGGATCGGATAGTTTGTCGTTTGGTGAAGAGTTATTCATAAAGAATAATATAATAATCATATGAAATTTGTATATATATACTACTAGCGACTCACCCTCGCTTCTGTCAGGTTCGTCCCTAGGTACGTTTTAAAGGTTAGTAGGGAATAGATAGACTATATATAACTATGGCCTTCCTCGATAAACGGGCTATCTAATCCAAAAATATTTTTTCAAAACGGAATAGTAGTTCCTGAGATAGCGCAGTCAAATAAACAAACTCTTCCTGTTTATAATATTAGATATATATAGATAATAAAAATACAAGCAAAAGCGAGGTCGCACAAAAACTATAGAAAAGAAAGACATGTACACAAAAAGTTTTATTCCAAAAACAGTAAACGTAAAAATTAATAATCCAAAAACAATAAACGGCCATGACATTTAATAAACAAAAAATGGTAAAATTCAATTATGTTTCAGATCAACCCTCAATTTTTGGTACTTCGTCCTTCATGCTTGCTAGGATGAGATTCTTGTCCGTCCCCTGCGGACGTTTGGGCTCTAAGGCTGTCCTCATTTCCAATGCCCGCGTATCCGTCTCGAGAGACTGTTCTTTATCGTTGAGATCAATCGCGATCTTGATCGAGGCAGCTTCGAGGGCGTTGTATGTGGCCCTGAATATGAAAATATCGTTATAGCATATTTTCTATAATTAGCTTTTTACTCACGACTTTGCTCATAATCCAGTGGTGGATATATATATATATCCAGTGGTGGATATATATATATATATATATATATCCAGTGGTGGATATATATATATATATATATACATATATATATATACCTAGGTGGTGTTTTAGGCTACAAAGCCAAGAACCCCTTAGATATAACACGCCTCCTATTGAAAACAATGGATAATATTGTAAGTTTATGTTTTATAAATTCTATTAAATTAATATTAATCTAAAATAAAAAATATATAAGCCCATTACAGGTTGTCCTAAAAACCTGAGATCAATTAATTAATTTAATTAATTCATTTCGTCTAGTACTAATTGCCATTTATCTTTATTAATTTTTTAAAGACAAAATGACAATTAGTTTAATTCTAATTATTGTTAATTGTAGTTTTTATACGCCCACGAAATATTAGGGCCCAGGGCACCCTAAATTCACTGCCCACCATCTGTCATAATCAAAAAAAGCCTTTCGCTATATATTGGTTATAAAACGCATACAGAATTCTTTAAAGTGTAAACCGGCAGTTCCAGAAATTAGCGCCGTCAAACGAAAAAACCAGACAAACAAACTCGTCTTCAGCTTCATAAGTAGTATTAATATAAGTTAAACCAGTCCCGGTCTGTCCGTGACCACCGCTGGTGCAACCCAGTCGAAACGTCGGGAATAAGGTAACCCCTGACTAATTCAAGCGTTTAAGTCCCGTAGTGTCATTATTATATGAATATTGTATATAACTATCTATGTTACCTACACACATGAAGTATATATTATAAAAACAGTATATATTATAAGTTATAACTGCCTCGGTGGTGTAGTGGCTAGCATGTACGGCCGCACACTTGGAGGTCCTGGGTTGAGTCCCGGGTCGGGCCAAGTTTAGTTATTTAGTCTTTCTGTATAAGTAAGTCTCAGTAACAGCCCGGAGTTGGGAAGTTGGCGGTGTTTCACCCCCGTGTCTCGGAGAGCACGTAAAGCCTTCGGTCCTGCGCCTCTTACTGGTAGTATCGAGTGGTCGTCCCACTGGAGTATGAGAGTGACAGAAATAGAGAGTGCACTTGTGTCTGCGCGTACACTTGTGCTCTATAAGATTGGCCGCCGTAGCCGGAATCGGCTAGGAGAATTATAAAAAATATCGAATCATATTATAAAAAAATATCGAATGAATATATATTGTGTATATAGATTAAAATCAGGAATTAATTCTTAGGATGATAATTATTACACTTGAACATTAAGAAAAAAAGTTAAAAAAATAAGGATTTTGTATTAAAAAAAATAATAATCTTAATGGAGTGAATATAAGGAGAGGCATACATTATTTATTATTTTGGAATTAGTACGTTGATTTGATAAGCTGGTTTTGTCCTCATTATGACATGTGGCTTAGGAACATGAATACTTAATTACCTGAATCCCCAAATAGAGCGTACATTGCATATGTCCTAATTTTTAAATTATTTAATTTTATCTACCTTTTGTCTGCGACTTCGTTTAACATACATAAGTAGAAACATACAAGATACGATCGAGAAACATAACCTTTCCTTGGCAGTCGGGTAAAGAGATAATATGTCGAATATTTTTTTTTTTTAGTAATCAACTTCCACTGCACATATACATACATACCACAAAACAAATGATTATTATTTAAAAATATTTGATAGTACAATTACAATATATGGTTACATCATAACATTACACTACACCCATACATGTCCCGTTTGTACTTTCATCCATTTGCTAAAACTGTCTAAATTCCCAATATAAACATTTGCTTTTGTAGATAGAATCGAAGAAAAATACCTCTTTTCCATTAAAATATATTTTGCATTTACTTCGACTAATGCTAATGTACCTCAACTCCGATTTTATAAGGAATAGCTAGCTAGTGTAGTGATAGAATAAAAATATCGTTTTTGCGTTCTACTTCCATTAGTCTGTAGAAGCATATAATGGTGACCGGGATAAGGCAATTTATGGAAAATATAATGTGGTTCAATACTATTATACACAAACATTTTCCTACGATTTATATTTGTATATTTTTCTTAGAATTTCTATTTGCACAACTATAATTTGGTATATATACCTACTAGAATAAATATATTTTTTTAAATAATCAACTTTACGTAAAATATAATTAAATTATATTAAATTATTAGGTAAATGTATATTTTTGTTCTTTTCCATGTTACAAGTAACAAATCAACAATATTATGGTGACATTTAAGGAACTAAACGGAAATGATTAAAGAGACAAGGAAAAATGGCAAAAGGAGAAGGACAAAAGGAGGAGGGGGTAATTTCTCAGATGCAACAGCAAGAAATCTGAAACTATGTAATATTCACTATCAGCAATATATTTCATAGTATCAATTATATTTATTATAGATTTATTATTATAAAGGATTTTCCTTTTTTCTAAGAAACCTTAAAATAACGCTATAGATCTTTAATTTTTTTTTATACCACGTCGGTGGCAATCAGGCATGCGGCCCGCCTGATGGTACGCGGTTACCGCAGCCTATGGACGCCTGCAACACCTGAGGCATCACATGCGCGTTGCCGACCCTTTAAAAACCTATTTACTCCCCTTTTGAAGGACCCCATACTGTAGCCGTCTGAGAAAACCTCAGCAGGGAGTTCATTCCACAGCGAAATGGTCCGACTATTTACTTCAAATATTTTCTAATTTTAAAATAAACATAATCACCTAAATGATTTATAGAAAATAAATCTATTATCAAAACATATAAATAGTCGGTGCGAGTAAATAGAAGATAAATAACAGGCAACGCTATTCAGACAAAAGCATTACTGAGCAGTGGCGGTTATTCAAATATTTATTACGTAGCATTTTATGTAATATCATGACACCGTGAATGAACCGTGGCGAGGCGCGCAACATAAATCCATTTGAACACTAACATGATTGAGAGAGCTAATTAATAAATGGAATGAAGTTATTATAAACGTAATCCCAATATTATTAATTTACTTAGTGTTTGCTTTTCACAGCTAACTCTTCAATATTATTAGTGCTGTATATCAATGATAACAGTGCCCAGTGGTAACACGTTCGCTTAGGAAACCGAGTGAAGCGGGTTCAAATCCCGGGTCTCGCACTTCTGATATTTTCATGTGCGAATCATTTCCAGCATGATTGCCATTTGTCTTAACGGTGAAGGAAAACATCGTGAGGAAACCTGCATGGCTGAGAAAACCTAGCAAGGTTTCAAAAGACATGTGAGGCCCGCGAACCCGTACTTAGCCAGCGTGGTGGACTATGGCCTGATCCCCGTCGTACTGAAGGGAGGCCCGTGCCCAGCAGTGGGACGTTAAAAAGGGCTGAATACATAGCAATGAAAATGTAGCTTTTTTATATCCCACTACTGGACTAGACAGACTATAGTCCCATTACGCTAACGAAATGTGAGTTTGTGAGCTCGCAAATTTTGAGAAAACTAGTTCTTTAATTTCTAGTTACAAGTTGTTTCAGATGTGCGGATTTGTTCACTTTATTTTCCTCAGTTTACTTGAATATATAATGAGAATCGCGCAAGAAAATGTTAGAGATGTGTGGGAGCAGAATTTGAAAAAGAAAATGTCTTTAACGAGTTTAAAAGAACGGAGTGACTATTCGTCCGATAATAATCGGAAGAATAAAAAATACATTATTCAGTCCCACTATTGTTGGTATGTGATACATATATTGCGATTGTTTTTATGTTCCTATAAAGTTATTTTTATGTTTCTATATAGGAGAAGAATATCGATAGTTAGCAGATAGTAGATAGAAATCGAATTATTAATAACTAGCATTGGCTCGCGGCTCCGCCCGCATTCAGATGACCAAAAACCAAATTCTTAGGTTTTACATATTAATATACTCTTACAATGTAGTTTTTGTATTTTTTCTCAGAAATTAGATATTTTCCCGCGGTAAAAAGTATCCTATATGTTGACCCGGATAATCAACTATCACCATACCTCATCAAATCCCTCCAGTGGTTTTTTCTTGATGCGGTAACAGACAGACAGACAAAAAGTCTAAACACTATAGATTCGGCCTCTGTATCGATAATAATATTTATTTCAATAAGATTTTCCAAAAAATATTTAATGTACAGATTCGGCTTAGTTGCAATTTTATTATAGGTATGTACCTATAGATATCAATAGTTAAAATTTTATGTTTCGAAAAAGATCGAATATACTAAAATTAAAAGTCTTTATTGCCCGATAGGTTAGAATTATCTCGTTTTATTAGGACGCAGTAACAAACAAACGGATAACATAAGTAAATAAATGGAGGATAAATAATACATTAGATCCATTCAAATCGCAATACTGAATGTATACTTTACGCAGAAATCAAACATACGACCTGTATCACAAAAGAAACTCGTAGATGTAAAATTTTGATAAAATTTTACATGATTTCCCCGACATCTAATAAGAATTTTAAATGTCTAAGCATATTTTCGCAATATAAAGTCATACGGTACAATATTTCATATGAAAATTCGAAAAACGGTATACGATACAATCTACATACATCGTTTTACAATGTGCCTATTTGCGTCACGTCACGCAACCTAGTGTTATAAAAGCTAAGCTCGTGTTATTCTTCAGTATAAAAGGGATTCTCATATATAATACACAGTTATTACTTGAGGTTCCGCCTACGCTTAAACATATGAGATAAAGTATATATAATAGACTAGGGGCTCTTCTACTATATGTACACATAAAATACAGTCCTGGTATAGTGTTTGTACTTCTGTCTGTACATAAGTATCCATTAATCTCAAAAACGACTATACAAATTTTGATGGGCTTTCTGATGTTATTATCTATATTAATCCAGAATGTAGTGAATTAAAATTGTTCTATCACTTACAGGAGAGCATTTATAAGTTAAGAGTCA